CCCGCCGTACCAGCACCTCCACCGCACACAGCAGACACACGCTGTGGAGACACGGCAGGAGCACGGGCTGCTTCACCAGCTCCTCACACAGGGGGCAGCGCAGCTCCTGCTCCATACTCTTCATGTTGGACTGAAGAGGAGAGAGTGACACACAGGCTGAGTCACTGTGGAAACATCATAACATCATCATCCTCTTCATGTGGTTCCAGCCCAGGTCCCCGAAAAACTGACGAAGTCCTACGGTACATACTGAACAAAACTGTGTTTTATATCAAACTGGGCTGAACTGCCATGTATAACCATGTAGCCTGGTGTTGGGATTTGATACTGAGCTGAACAGTTTCATGTACATGTTTTGTAAAATAGGTTGATATAAAAAATATGTGTTGGGATTTGATACTGAGCTGAACAGAAGTAGGTTGATATAAAAAATATTTTATTATAAACCAAACATCTCTCAGCCTCCCTGCAGTATCTCCTATGATCCCCTAGGGGTCACTCAACCTATTTTAAAGACATTATATATCAATTATGTCCAACAGCAATGTCGGCTGGACATTAGGCTAAGGCCAGTTTTATTTTATTTATTTTTTTTGCAGATGATACTGTCGTTTACAGCTCAGTGTCCAATCATTAAATATGACCTGTCAGATACGACATCAAGTCGATTTCACATTATGAACCATTTGTATTGATTTCAAACAAAAATATTTTCACTTTTTTTTTTCTCTAATCAATTTGTATGTATCACATGTATCACCGGTTTAGGCCTGACTCCAGGGTTGCAGCATCCTCCTCGCATCCCGTCGCTATGACAACGCGCCTCATTCCTTTACCTTTTATGATATGCGGCCCGTAAGCAGATGATTTACGTAATGCGTGTTTTCTTCATTTTGAATTAATTTAAAAAAAAACCAAACACATCGAATACTCAAACACATGTGTCACATCAATTACGGTAACAGAGCCGTTTCCGGGGGAAAAAACTCAATTACGGTAACAGAGCCGTTTCCGGAAAAAAAAAACACGATTTTACTATCAACAATTTGACTGTGTTCGAATGAAGCATATTTAGGGTTTGACGTGAAAACCATAGTGTGAATATTTGTACAGATTGACGACCACACCACACACCGGCTGTGTTACATGTTAAAGGGACAATGCTGAAATTAAAGGCTCGTACTCACACTGATACGAACCAGCGCGTCCATGATGGAGGTAAAGCTTTGTAACTCGGCTTCTGCCATGCCGCTGTCTGCACCATACCACACACTGTAGGAACAGCGACCTCGGCACCCACGGTATATCAAGCCTCCGGGGCTTAAACTGCTGACCCTCCGCAACAGATCTGCTCCGGGTTCCTCTCCGTGGCTCCCGGTGTGATGCTGCGCACACAATGATGATGTGTGCGACGAATCGTCGCAGAATCTAGTCTGATGGAAGGAGGGATGGAAGCGGGTCCGCTGGAGGAACGAGCTGTTTTTACTCACAGCTGTGACAAAAACATGATAACAATATTTTTATATTATTTTTAAAAATCATAATAATTTAGTTTTAATTATGAGTCAAGAAATACTATTTTATTGTTTATTTTTTCTATATTATTTGATTTTGCAGGAATTTGCGTTACATAAAATATTTGGAGGTGTATTTTTGTTCTGCCGGTAGGTGGCAATGTTGTGCTTTAAACATGGGGAAAATAATAGTGTCCTGTCTGAAATGTCGTCCGGGGTGAATTAAAAATCCTTCTTCGTCGATAATAGTTACACATTTATTTATATACAATTTAAAATGTATTTAAAATACATTTATTTTTTGAGAGAAAGGGGAGTGAGGGGAAGAGAAAGGCAGACACGGAGGGTTTGTGCAGAAGCGGTCGGTGTGGAGTAAAATGGAACTCATCGATACACCGGAACTAGTTTATGTTTTTACCCGGTCTTGTTAGAGAGTGCACACAGAGCACGGTTGTTGTGGCAACCGTGATACGTCGGGCAATATTGTTAATGTTAAATGGTTCTAATTAAATTATAACTTGATAATTAACACGCCTTGAAGCTGCAATCGCGGCAACGTTTTGTATCTGACTTTATGCTAGCATCGTTAGCATGTCGGCGATAAGCAGTCTGGTTCCAGCGCGGTTTCTGACAATCATAGCTCATCTTGTTATCGTCATCACCATCTTCTGGTCAAGGGTGAGTCTGAGAAATAATTACACTTTTTTTAAACTAGTGTTAGTATCTGTGAGTGTAGTGCGATCGAAAAAAAAGTGATGGTTGGAGAGCTTTTATTACGATAATACCGTTTCGTGTTTAGCTAGCTTCACTGTATCTCATGAGCTGCTGTGTTTTACAGGAAAACAATGTGAAGGCGAGTTTGCCTCTGGAATTCACCCAGGAGCAGTATGACAGTGAAGACCAAAAGTAAGAAGACCTTTGACTGTGTCAAACATGAACAGAATTTTTTAAAAAAAGACTGTTCAAGTGCCGTGTTCTTCTCCTCAGGCTGGTGGTGGCTTTGGCTGTTACCCTGGGGCTGTTTGCCATAGAATTATCTGGATTCTTCTCCGGCGTGTCCATGTTCAACTGCAGTCAAGGTCTGTTGTGTATCCTTTAAACCACTGGTTCCCGACCCTTTTTTGCACGACGACAGAGAGACTTTTATACAAGACCATTATTTTGCCGACAGGTTTGTGTGTCAGGAGAGGTCAAGCACGTAATGAAACACAATCGAGTGCATTTTACATAATGAAATAAAGATATATAATATTCATATATACTTCAAATACAATTAATTATTTTATATTGTTCAATTTTATTTGTGGCATGAAGTCATTTATACTTCAAATACAATTAATTATTTTACATTGTTCTTTTATTTTATTTATGGCATGAAGTCATGATTTTTCAAAATAAAACAACTTGCGAACTTTTGAAATTTTCATGTGACCCAGATCCTAATGATCCACGTCCCAGTACCGGTCACTGCACCAGTGATTGGAGACACTCACTCAAGATCACTGTTAACAAACTCTCTTAAAAATTAACCAGGTTTTAGTCATAGACTAAAGACCTAAAATTGATTTTTGACATCAATGTGTAATTTAATACTTGAGATGAAAAACTTATAAAAAATAAAATAAACCAAATGATACCAGAGAGAAGTTAAAAACTGATGTCATCAGTTACAGTTCCATGACTTCAGTCTTTAATAGCTACTGGAGCCCATGCCAGTGCCTCTGTGGCTCTGCTTTTCTTTCTGTTTGAGCAGTGGGAACTTGACATCTACTGGGCGATCCTCGCCATCTGCAGGTTAGTCCATGTAACATGTCCATAACTGCATGTTTCCTCCACTTCTGATTATTTTTTTTCCCTGACAATGATTTGCCCAGCACTGGCTGTGCACTGCGGTGCATCTGTCTCCCTGTCCTTCTTTGTTTTTGAGATGTGGGAATGCTGGACATATTGGGTTATTTTTGCAGTCTGCAGGTCGGTGGTGTTGGTTTACGTTCTGGTACAAGTGTGTGTGTGAAGTCTGAAACATTAAGATTATACAGTAAATAATGTGATTATTCCTTTTTCTAGTGTGTTACCTGCCGTTGTGGAGATCATTCTGTTTGTTGGTGTTTTTGGTCTGAAGAAGAAGCCATTGTAAAGTAGAAAAGACTGTCAAGAAGATGTGAATGAAACCCAATCACAGCACACCTCGGTGTCATCAAGGCAACGGCAGCAACACTGACAAACCACAAAGAAGAACGAGATTCAAAAATTAATTTTTCCATTTATTCATCCTTTAAAATATCCATTGATCAATGGAGTCGATCTTTATCCACTGCTGTTACTTCTCAAACATTTCCTTTTTGTTTATAAATTTGTATATAATTTGTATGAGACCAATTCAAAATATTGTGCTTTTTTCAGGCAATAAATGAGTGACTTCTCTTTTTATACTAATTTAGTTTTGTAGAAAAATAAAATTAAAAGTTCTCAAATTGTATTCATTGTTTACCATTTTGTTACTCTGGAGTCGTGTCTTTCTCTATTGGAGTTATTGCAAGTTATTGCAAAGTAAAGCCGCATGATGGCAGTACTGATGCGAAGCTCCGCCCACTGGTCCGTCCTTCTGTTTGTACCGGGTCTGATTGTGACTCTCTTGGTCTGGGCTGACGGCTTCATTTTTTTTTACCCAACGAAATCGTACCCATTCACCTCTGTTTCTATCAAAATACAGCGTGTTTTTACCACAAAACCATGGGTACGTGTTGCAACTTTAATTCGTCTTCCTGTATAACTCTGTTTTTCCTGTGCATTTCTTGATATATGGTCTAATTAGTGAGCAGTCCTACGGGCATGCTAACGTGCCGGGATATGATTGGCTAGTGTCAATGAAAATGAAACGTGAATCCATTTATTTTTGTTTTAAATCCACAACCAGATGTATATTAACATATTCACTGATTTTCACGTTATTCAATGTTTTTGGGTTAAATGCGCTTCTTGTTTCCCATCTACGGCGAGTTAGCATGGGGCTAACAGTTTAGTTTTGTGTGCGAACACTGACGTGGCGTTAAGTTGCAATGGAAAAGTTTTATAAGAGGGGATGTATAACCCGGTATTTATTAAAATATATATTTAAATTTGAACAAACCAAAGCACTAAATAAGTTACGGTGTCATACAGAAAAGTCACTTAATGTTTTGATGTCGAACTTCTACACGCAACGGGCCTGTATATAAATGTAAAACTATATAGAGACGGCAGTGGTGTAAATGAATCAGTGGTCAAAACTGTAAGTCAAGAGGTATTTCTTCCACCCTGCAGTTACCAATATATAAATAAATGAAATACTAATGTAAAACAAAAACGTCTAAAAATTCCAATAAATCACTTTTAGTCCATTTCTGTATTGTAACCTGATATAATGACTTTTTAGCAAAATGAAATATTGGAGAAATAAAATGTAAAGTTATGTTTTACTGCAGGATCCCCGAGTGTGGTGTTTAAAGCCAGGTTCAAGTGTAAAAAAATGTTCAGCTCAGATTTTCCCTCTGACCTTGTTTCACTTGTGTGTCTCTCCTGCAGCAGTGAACACAGGTACGTCACTGGTCCTGTCCAGTCTGCTGTCGGTGCTGGTTTTTGCTGGGATGCAGATGTTCAGTAAGCAGCTGGGGTCGACGGAGTGGCTCACCATCCTGGGAGGATTCCTGGGATCAGTCCTCTTCATCTGCTCCCTCACTGTATCCTCACTGAGGCAAAGCTAATGTTGTAATGTTTCAGGGCTGTTTATGTTTATGTGTCACTGGTGCAGAGATTAACACTGACCAACAGTAGTTGCTGTGTCAGATTTAGTTACCTGTACTATATCCAAATATTTATTCTGCAGTATTTCATGGGTTCACAGATTTTGAGAGAAGGGGCGCGCATGCAAACATTACCCCTGTTTCTAGTTGGCTTTAG